GTGTGCATAGATCATGTCAACTTGTATGAGTTGACCCATGGAATAAATTTCTAAAAACAAGAATGTTGGCACTTAAAACTTTGGTAGCTATCATCAACTATACGCACTAGTGGTGGGCATGCCTGTTTCCTTGTATCCTCACACCATTACCAAGGCTTTGTTGTATTTTTTTAAGAATATGTTTTTTATTGATTTTTTAGAGAGAGAGGAAGGGAGAGAGAGATAGAAACATCAATGTGAGAAACATCCATCAGCTGCCTCCTGCACGCCCCCTACTGGGGATCGAGACAGAAACCTGGGCATGTGCCCTGACTGGGAATAGGGATGGGAATCAAATGGGGACCTCTGGGTCCATGGGACGACGCTCAATCCACTGAGCCACACTGGCCAGGCAAGGTGTTTTTTTTTAACCTTTACTATCTGATGGGAAAAATGATATCTTATTATTATTTTGTAAAATTAAAAAAATACATTTTGTAGCTTCTTTAGTCCACAGCCAGCCATTGCTAGTAGTTGTCTTGAGGGCGGGGGAGGGCATTCCTGAACAGATCAGAGTGAACCGTGAGACCCTGTGTCAGGGTCCTGCTCTTGGAACCCAGTTTCCACGAGCACGCGTCCTGCAGGTTTTTCGTGTGTGTGCGCGCGTGTGTGTGATTGTCTTGCTTTTCAGGATTTGCACAGGGAGCAGCTCAGTCTAGCCCTCGAGAGAGTGAGCATGGGAAGTGGCCAGTGCACGGTAAATCAGTGCGGATGTCATTTTATCTCCGTCCCGAGGTGTGAATTCCTAACCTGTGTGGGTCTGCTGACTCTAAATACCACCGTGCCCTGTTTTTCTGGGGATCAGAGTGTCCTTCTCTGCCATTGTCCTCTGTTCTCACCTGGCTTGTCAAGGAGGCAGAGGCGAATCTAGCCTGTCTTTTGAGGAGAGTTCAGCTGAAACCCCCAAAGAGTACATGACCTGCTCAAGGTGATTCAGTGGTGGAGCTGTGAGGGGAGCCGACCCCACCTGGTCAGTACTGGTGCCATCTCGTGATGTCCAGAGTGGGGGGAGGATCTAGACTGAATGATACAGTGCCCACCTCTCTAGGGCATGTTTCCTGAGCTCTGGGAACTGCCTAAGCCCCGCGCCTGGGAGGGCGTGAGGACAGAGATGCCCAAGCAGAGGAAACCACAGTCTCCCTTCCCTGCTGCCCCCAAAGGCATCGCGGACGCGATGGAGGGGCTGCTGGCAGGGGCCTGGCTGCTTTGTCGCCTCTGATCCCAGCCAGTGTTCTCGGATCTACGTTCCTCCAAAGCCCAGAGAGCCGAGTGGCTTCCCTGGAGCTCTGCCCTGGGGTTGGGACTCTGGCTGGGACTTGCCCTTCAGCTGGTACTAGGAACACCCACAGGCCTCCACCAGGGAAGCCAGGACCTTGTGACTCGGCGAATCAAAGTAGGCTCTGTGGAAGTGGGGAGCAGCCTGGGAGGGCAGGCGCCTGCCTGGCCAGGTGTTGGGAGGTTGGCATTTGCTCTTTCCCATGTCATCATTGTTCTCGCCCAGCTGCTGAGCTGAGCTTGGCTTTCTCAGGGCCTGAGCTCTTTCATCTGTGAACGGGCGCTGCGTCCACTGTGCGTCTCCGCAGGCTTCAGACTCAGCTTTGCTCTGCGGGTGGCACCTGCGGGAGCAGATCCCGCAGGAGCAGTGGCCGGGGACTTGGGCTCTGGAGTCAGGCCTGGCTGTGCAGCCATCATGCCGGGTGGATTTCGTCAAGGTGCCTCTCTGAGCCACAGTGTCCCGTTTGTCTAATGGGGGGAACAGTGGCACCATCTCAGCGGTGTTGTGAGTTTGAAGTGAGCTAAGCCGTTAGGTGGGTGCTGGTCCCTAGTCAGCTCACGGATGCAGGCGCTGCCCTGCTCCCCTGTCCCTGTGGCTTGTCCTCACCGCCACGCTGACCCCGCGCTGAGTCAGCCGAGGCCTGGGAGGAAGCTGGGCCCCGCTTGGTGGGAGCAGGAGGGCTGGGCCTGGCTCAGAGCGCTTCTCTCTTCTCCCGACTCAGTCTCTCCCAGAGAGCCCACAGGCCCCTCGCTGCCCACCCCACACAGAAGAGGGGTCAGGACAGGGGTGACGGGAAGCTGAGCAGGACTGAGGGAGGGGGTGGAATCATAATAAATAATTATCACGGCTCCCATGATGTAGCCCTGCACTGAGTGTTTATATTCGTTTATAATCTTGTGAGGTTCGTGGCAGCCGTCCTACAATATACAGGAGGAAGCAGAGGCCTAGAGAAGTCACATGATCTGCCGGAGGGTACACGGAGGGTACACGCTCCTGAACTTGAGAGGAGGGCCGAGGAGAGGAGGGGGAGGCGCTAGAAGGGCTCTTGCCTCCCTCCCCAATTCACGGAGTAAAACTTAAAAGCCGTTTGTGGCCCTCCCTTCTCTCTCCCCACACCCTAACTCTGGGGGGCCAGGAGGGTGCGGGTTTCCAGATCTCAGTGGCCTCCAGGAAGTCCCAGAAGCTATGAATTCTGTGCCCTTCCTGCCAGCCCAGCAGGGCCAATGCCGCTCCCCGGCCAAGTGTCTGAGTCCCATGACTCGGTGTCGTCTTCTGTGGCTGCCATGCAGGAGACCAGGACGCCAGGGGGGAGACCCCAGCCTTGGTAGAAGCAACGGAGGCCTTGAACTGCGCCTCCCTGCCCGGTCCCTGGGCCCGGCTGACCTTCGGACGCGTGGGGCTGGGTGTCACCAGAGACTGCCGGCTAGCAGGAGGGCATCTCTCAGCTGCGTCTTCCCCTGGAACACAGGTGATGGACAACATGCATGCATGGCCACGGGTGTCATGGGCGGTGAGAAGTGGCCAAGCTTGGTCACCGGCACCCTGACTTTCTCGCCCATGTGACAGCATGTCGAAACGCACTCCAAGGCTGGGTGTGCGAGGAGTGCCCTCTAGTTGATAAAAAAGAAAGTAAATTGTGAAAGGAATTTCGGTAGTGACCCCTGTGACACTGGGTGGAGGCTGTGAGCTGTGTCTGGCTCACCTGGTGTCTGTCCATCCGTGTGGGCCGGGCCGTGGGGAAGGAGCGGGAGCGGCTGATGGGCTGTTGTTTTCTCTTCATTCTTCACTCACCAAGCGGTTTATCACAGTTGCACTTTCTCAGTGGAGAGAGAGAGAAATCCAGTCACGTTGGCTTTAGGAATGGAGGGACTCGGGGTTCACGCTGGCTTTTAGCACAGCTGGATCCAGGCCCCGGGCGATGTCCCTCGCCCTGACCTTTCTCACGCTCCTGTCTGTCAGTCCTTTGCCCCGCCTTCCTCCGGGTTGGCTGCGTTTCCCTGTGGTCAGCAGCCCTGGGGGAGAGAGTGAGGAGTGTGCTGGGAGTGAGTCCTCGTGGGTCTGTGTTGGACTCCTGCCCGCTCCTGCCCAGTCTCCGTGGCCAGGGGGCGGGTGTCCTGGCTGGCCCGGCTGGCCAGGTGCTCCCCTTGGGGAGGATGGAGCACAGAGCCGCTTTGCTCATACAGAGGCCAAATTGATGTCGGGCAGGCGGGACCCAAGGTGTCCATGGTACCAGTTAAGCACCCCTTGGGTGTGGGGGACAGTGGTCTGATGCAAGCCCAGAGGGTGAACCACCCGATCCTTCCCTTCCTGGTGGGTGGGGCGGAGGGTGTGGCCTGAGCCGAGGCCAGCTGCCTTGGAGGAAAGGACCCCACGCTTGCCACCCACAGCCCTGAACTGGGTCGGGACCCTGAAGCTGCTCTCACAACCCATCCGGGTCGCTGCGCGAGTCCCCTGTAGAGATCCCTGCCGAGATCCCTGCCAGGGAGGAGTCAAGAAAGTAGAAATGTCTGTGCCATTTATCCACAACCTGGAGGTGGCCCTCTGGCACCACAGCGAGGATCCAGTTCCCCAGTAACTGTGGGCCCCAAAGCGGAAGCTGCGGGGAGGGTGGGCCTGGGAAAGAAGCCATTGATGGCTGCCACTGCAGCTTTAGTTCCCCTTCCCTCTGCTTGGGGCGGGGCAGGGGCCCCTTCTGTGTCCCCCTACCCTAGTCTGTCGCAGTGTTTGTGCGTGTGCCGTACGGCTGTTTCATGAGCACCTACTGTGTGCCTGGCATGGCAGCGCTGGTGCAACCAGAGCTGAGGGCTCCCCGTTGGTTCCCGCTGCCAAGACAAACACACGCGCACCCAGGTGCCCCTCCCACGCTGCTGGCATGAAGTGTGGCGCTGCTGACTTCTGTCTGGACGCCGAGGGGTCTGAGAAGTGCAGATCTGTGCCTGTGCGTGGTCCTGTGACCACGTTGTAGGCATGTGTGCACTCTGAGTGTGTGCCTGGGTTGCACATGTATGTGGATATGTGTATGTGAGCACACGTGTCTTCATCCCTATGTGAGTCTATGTCTGATGGGGAGTTGTATGTATATGAAATGCATGTCCCAGGTGTCTTTTAATGTCTATATGAACCTGCACATGTGTGTACAGTACCTGTGCACATATGTGTATCTAAGGACACACATGTGAGCATGCATGTGCCCATGGATCGTGTGTGTGTACACACACACACACACACACACACACATGCACACATATATGCTCCGTGCCACACATGTGCAGGTATCAAGGTATCAGTACAGCCGTGGGGCTGGTTTTTCTGGTGTGCTCTGAACCATGGTGCAGCAGGAAGCAGAGGTCCCAGGTCAGGCAGTGGGTATGTGGGTTCCCAGTGTGCAGGACTCCCTGCGTGTCCCAGCTAGCTTTCTCTCCCTGCCAGGCCCAGTGTAGGAATCCTCAGCCCTCCTTCGGGTTCCGGGAACCCAGGGCTGTTGGGGGCTGAGCTGCCAACTGGGGCTGTGGTGTAATCTGCCAGCCGAGCCCCTTCCGGAGCTGCGGGTTCCTCTGGGCGTGGGGAAGCTGCCCTCTGCAACCTCCCGGCTCGCCGTGGTGCCTCCCAGAATGCAGGACACACCTCCCGGCCCTGTGGCCTCACCCACAGGAAGTACAGGTTGGGGGACAGGCCACGGGGGAGGTGCCACGCTGGGTGCCCTGCCCAACACCAGCGGCCCGCTGACCCTGCTGCATCAAGACCCCCTTGCCAACAGCCCCAGGGACGTCGCTGGGACCTGGGGACCCTCGGCCACAACATGTTTGGCAGGAAGCGCAGTGTGTCCTTTGGGGGCTTTGGATGGTGGGTGACAGATTGAGGGGTGGTTGGAGGGTTGGGGTGACTTAGCTGTGCAGCCTTGTGGAACACTGTGGGTGCCTGTGGGAACAGGGGCTCAGGTTGAACTTTGGGCCAGCAGGGGGCACTTTCATGTACCCGGCTGATGGATACGGAGGATCCTGGCGGGGGCACGAGACCCTGTAAGCTTTTCCTCACTGTCTTTTGGGTTTAATCTTCTGGGGAATTCGTAAGGTCAGAGCTGGAGTCAGTGTGAGTGTGAGCGCGGTGACTGTGGGCGAGTGTGAGTGTCTTTCCTGTGTTCCCATGTATGTGTAGGCACCTCTGTGATGACTGTGCATACGTGTGCGCGTGGCTGAGATTGTGTGCGGAGTGCACGTCTGACCGTGTGTGAGGCGGTGTGTGCCTGGCCGGGTGGGTGTGCCTGTGCGTGTGACCACGTGCGCACCCTTTGTTTCTGAGCAGTCTGTGCCTCTGGTCTTCTGTACCTGTATGTGCACTTGTCTGTGCGTGTGTGTTACACTCCTCTCTGTATCCTCTTTGTGACTTGGTGGCGGGAGGAGTCTGTGGCCTGATGACCTTTGAAACTGTCTCCTCTTGCAGGGGTGAGCTGTGAGAGGAGGGGGCAGGCCTGTCTCTCAAGGTCCCTTCCCTCTGTCCCCCACCCCGGACAGCCAGTCCTAGCTCTGTGCCTGCCTGAGCAGCCGGGTCTGTGCTACAGCCTTTGCCTGGCCCTCTGGGCCACCTTTTGCCACTGTCCTACTGCCTGGGATAAGGAACAGCCTTTTTCCTCCCCAGGGGCCAGAACACGGGGAGGGGGAGGTCAAAGGCTTCTCTCTGGTTACCAGCTGCTGGCAGCTTCTCCTCAGCTGGGGAGCAGGGTCTAGTGGTTTTCTTTATCGGTTTCCTTTCAGCTTCTGGGCCTGGGGCACTGTCAGCGGATAGGTTCCCGCTGTTATGGAGAGGGTGGCCAGGGGGTGTCCTGCTGTAGAAGCTGGTGGGCTAATGGGGGCCGCCAGAAGCGAGGGAGACGGGGAAGGAAGCCAGGGGACTGGGGAGAGTGGGCTTTGTTCCTCTGGCCAATTCCTCCACCCCGTATGTACACAGCTGTCCATTCCCCTTCCTCCTCTTTATTATTATTATTTTTTATCCTTACCCAAGGATATTTTCCCATTTCTCTTTAGACAGAGCAGGAGGGAGGGAGAGAGGAAGACAGAGAGACACAGAGAGAGAAACATTGATGTGCGAGAGACACATTGGCTGGTCGCCTCCCACACAACCCAACCAGGGCCGGGGACAAACTGCAACCGAGGTACGTGCCCTTAGCGGGAACCGAACCCGGGTCTCTCCGGACCGCAGGCCGACGCTCTAACCGCTGAGCCGAACCGGCCAGGGCCCCTTTCTCCTCTTTAAAGCACGTTGCCACTCGTCCTCTGGCAGGAAGGGCCCATGGGAGTCCACGTTTGGGAATGACGGCAGGCAGGATGAGGTGCCAGGAGTGGCCCAGCGCCTGCTCGTGGCCCTTCCTGGCCCTCCGGCCTGGGGCTGCTATCCTGAGGGCGGGGTTTGCGTTTGAATCACCTAGTCCACTTCCTGGTCAGGGGTAGTGTGCGAGGCTGGGCTGGGATCCATGCAGGACAGGGCCAGGCAATGACATGGTGTCCTCCAAGGCCCACCCTTCTGTGGGGGGTGTGGAGCGAGGGAGGGACTGTGCTTGGCACATCGCACGTGCTCAGCAGATGCTCTGGAATGACTAAGTGAGGTGGTTTGTCCACAACAGGCTTGTGGGTGGGGGCTCACTGAGCTGGAGGGAATGGAGGCTTCTGGGGACGGCTGGAGGGTGAGGGTGGGTGTCATCTGGGCATGGCTGTCAGCTGGGAGGGGATATCAGTTGGCTGGGAACTAAATTACAGCTTCCTGCAGCCCTAGTCCACGCAGACAGTGAGTGGAGTCTGAGGGGTGGTTATTTCAAGGGCCCCATGGGATGCCAGGGGTAGACAGGGTGCCGGATTGGGATGAAGAGTGGGGACGGAGAAGAGAAGGCACCAGGGAGAACCTGGGGACTGGCTTCCTGAAGGGGAAACGTCCAGCGTCACAGCCAGTGACTGCCCTGTCTTCTGTGCACGCCCAGCGTGGCAGCCGTGTTGGACAGGCTGCCGGCTCGGTGTGGACGCGGGCATGGACGCGGGCACTCGGACGAGTTGCTGGACCCAGAGCGCCGCCGGGTGGGGTGGTGCTCGGGCTGAGGGTGCCACACGGGAGTGCGGGTTCTGGCGCTGACTCCACCCTGGCTCACCAGGAGCGCAGACGGGACACTTCACCTCTGGGTCTCAGTTTCTCCATGTGCAAGGGGGGCTCTCTGCCCTTCCCACAACATGGATGTTGTAAGAATGAAAAGAGATTCCTTGAGAAAAGAGCCTGTTGTTTGGGGTTTCAATTGGGTTGCTCTGGGTGACAAATATTACAGTGGAATGTGGGGGTCTGACCCCAGGGTCCAACCTGCCCTCATCTGGTGGGTCAATGGGAGAGGACGAGGGTCTGCATCCTCGAGGGGGCTGGGGGCCAGTGAGACCCTTCGAGACCAGTCGTGGAAGCCCCAAGGACTGGGTCCAGGAGGCATGTGGAGACGCTGGGAAGGACCTGGGCCAGGAGCCTTGGGGCGTGGCTGGTTTTGCTCTTGGAAACTGACATCAAAAGGTGCTGGGAGCCGGGCCCGTGTGGTTCCGTGGTTGAGCGTCAACCCATGCACCAAGAAGTCGCTGGTTCAATTCCTGGTCAAGGCACATGGCCAGGTTGTGGGCCAAATTCCCAGGGGGGGCATACAGAAGGCGGCCAATCGATGTTCTCTCATCAATGTTTCTATCTGTGTCTCCCTCTCCCTTCCTCTCTCTCTCAAATCAGTAAAGAAAAAGAAAGGTGCTGGGAAAACAAATCTTTTTTCCTGGGTGTTCTTGGGGCCCTGCTTCAACACCCCAAAGTTATTCCCAGATTAAGACTCTTATTTATAATTTAAATTTTGAGCCCTGGCCAGTTTAACTCAGTGGTTAAGAGTGTCAGCCCGCGGACTGATGAGCCACAGGTTCGATTTTGGTCAAGGGCATGTACCTCCGTTGCAATTCGTCCCCGGCCGTGGTCGGGTTGTCCGGGAGGCAACCAGTCGATGTTTCTCTCTCTCTCCCTTCCACTCTAACTGAACAAAAAATGGAAAAATGTCCTCGTGTGAGGATTAAAAAAAATTATATAATTTAAATTTTGGGAGGTTTGTCAAAATACATCAAAAAGCTTGCACATTTGACTAAATAGAATCATAAGTCATTAGAAGCAATATGTAATAATCCATTTAACCAAAATGGCAATGAAAGATTTCAAGAAAAATACTGAAGTTTACATAATTGTTAGCAAAACTTAGTTCTTACTATTGAGGAGATTTAATTCTCTTTTTTTAGAAAAAAAAAAAAGTTTATTGATTCTAGAGAGAGAAAAGGAAAGGGAGAGAGAGATAAAAACATCGATTGGCCACCTCCTGCATGCCCCCTACAAGGGGTCAGGCCCACATCCTGAGCATGTGCCCTGACCGGGAATTGAACTGGTGACCTCTCGGTGCATGGGTTGATGCTCCACCACTGAGCCACACTGGCTGGGCGAGGAGATTTACTTTTCTTAAGGACCTGATTAAGACAACATTAAACAGAAACGATTCTGAGAAAACACAGAATCTTTGCTGTCTAGGCAGAAAACGTTTCTCAGTATTGGGATCAGACTAACAGTCCTTTTAGCGGAGAGAGAAAACCAAACTCGCATCTCGGGGCAGCTTACTTTTGATACCTTGCTTACCTTGTTCACAGCAGTCTTTCCAGATAAGGCCCGAAGGTTGCCTAGTGGGAGATGCAAAGAAAGAAGCTCAGGATATACTGGGGACTTCGAGGAGAGAGGAATTAACCCCACATCCATGGGCGTTGCAGGCGAAGTCTGACTGCAAGTACACAGCTTAGCTTCGTAGCCTCAAGAGGACTTTTAAAATTCAATCTGAAGATTCCTTATGAAAAATTCCAGCAAAGCAGTTTTGAAAGAGCCTTTGTGGTTGATACTATTCTTGCTGGACTTCTACAAACAATCAGGCCAAGTTTATTGAAATAGACTTATTTTGCTAATAAATTAGTCTTAATTTGGTTAGCTGATAAAAAATGAGCATCATTTTTAGAGAGAAAATGGTTTCAATAGAAATTATAATATGCCTTTGTGGGTATTAGGTTCTGGTGCTGTTCATTGTCTTTTCAGCTAAAAAAATTTTTTTTTCTACCTATATAGTGGACTGGATCCTGAATTTTTTAGTTTTCTTAAATATTTGGCCGCCCCTCTCCAAAGTAACATTTTCATTCTCACATCCATTGACTTGGAAACTCTGGGAACTAAAACCGCCTGTTTCCCAAGGCCATGCGAGCTAAAGTGGGACCACTTGATGGAGACCTGGGAGCAACCTCCACAGCAGCTCCTCTGTGGACAGTCTGTTCCTGCTGCAGAAAGATCACCAGACACTGAAACTGCAGCCTGGAGAAGCTCTCAGACTGTCACTGCCTGCCTTCACTCCATCTGCAGGTGGTTGGAGACAGACATCTAGAAATCTTTTTTTTTTTTTTTATCCTCAACCGAGGACATTTTTCCACTTTTTGCACAGATAGAGTGGGAGGGAGAGAGAGGAAGGGAGAGAGAGCGAGAAACATCGACGTGAAGGGACACATCGAGTGGCTGCCACCCGCACGACCAACCAGGGCTGGGGACAAACTGCAACCGAAGTACGTGCCCTTAGCGGGAACCGAACCCGGGTCTCTCCAGACCGCAGGCTGACGCTCTAACCGCTGAGCCAAACTGGCCAGGGCGACATCTAGAAATCTTGATTGCCTGCCTTCAAACTCAGAAACCGAGATTATAGTCTGCTCCAATCATTAACCTTTGTTTTCCTTTTGTTTCCATAGAAATGCCTCTTATTATATTCCTAATTGCTTTAAAAAAAGGTGCTGAGAGTTTACTCAGAGCGAAAAGATTCCGCCCCCCAGCTCAAGGGTTTGGTGCTGACTTGTGACTGCTGGGGGAGCTCGGCATTTTCACCGCGTGCATGGCTACCACGCCCCTGGCTACCACGCCCCTACCCCTGTGGCCCCAGCAGTCCGCTGTGTGGGAAGGAGGCTTGTGGCAGATCTGAGCTGGATGGACGAGTGGCTGAAAGAACTTTCCGGGGTTTCAAGCATCTTGGAGGTGGTGGTGATTTTGGTGACGCTGATGGGTGGTGACACTGGTGGTGGTGGTGACACTGATGGTGATGATGACACTGGTGGTGGTGACACCGATGGTGATGATACTGGTGGTGCTGGTGACACTGGTGCTGATGACACTTGTGCTGATGGTGACGATACTGGTGGTGATGGTGACACTGATGGTGGTGGTGATACTGATGGTGATGGTGACACTGATAGGGTGGTGACACTGGTAGTGGTGGTGATATTGATGATGGTGACACTGATGGTGATGATGACACTGGTGGTGGTGGTGACACTGATGGTGATGATAACACTGGTGGTGGTGACACTGATGGTTATGATGACACTGATGGTGGTGGTGATATTGATGATGGTGACACTGGTGATGACACTGATGGTGGTGCTGATACATGGTGGTAGTGACACTGATAGTGATGACACTATGATAATGGTGACACTGGTGCTGATGGTGAAACTGATGATGGTAGTGACACTGTTGATGGTGACATTGGTGCTGATGGTGACACTGATGGTGATACTGATTATGATAGTAACTCTGGTGGTGGTGGTGATACTGATGGTGGTGATGACACTGATGGTGATAGTGACACTGGTGGTGGTGGTGACACTGATGGTGATGATACTGGTGCTGATGGTGACACTGGTGGTGGTGGTGACACTGATGGTGATAGTGACACTGGTGGTGGTGGTGACACTGGTGCTGATGGTGACACTGATGGTGATGATACTGGTGCTGATGGTGACACTGGTGCTGATGGTGACACTGATGGTGATGATACTGGTGCTGATGGTGACACTGGTGGTGATATTGGTGGTTGTGACCCCTGAAAAAGAGGAGACACCAGCAGTGGGAATCTTGCCTACCATTCTGTCTCTGGAGAGAGAAAGGGCCTCTTTTACCAGCCATAAGGGCTGACATATGTAGCGGGTAAAAATAGAAGCTTAGCAGGGCTGCGTTGCCTTCCAGAGCGGCGCAGGCTGGGGTGGGGGAGCTGGCTGCCGGGACAGTCTGCCACAAACACGGTCTTCCCTGTCCCGAGCTCCTGGGCCTGACAGTTCCCACCTGCCCGTGCACCCTGGCACCTGTGGCTGGCTTCTGCCCCAGGAGCGGGGTCTTCTCTGTGGCTGGACTGGCAGCTCCCAGAACAGGAGGGTCCTTGGTGCTGGGGGTGTTGGGGGTGCTGGCATCTTTTCAAAGCAGCGTCCCAGAAAGCATCAGTGTGTTGGATGTCCAACTGCCAGTGACTGATGAGTCTCGGTTTCAGTCTTCTTGTGGAGTGGTGGTAATGGAGGGAGAGGCTACATACAAAGTGGATCTGGAGTCGGATCCCTGGAATCAGACTGGGACAGTGATTTTAATCTTCTGAGCCTCAGTTTCCCGATCACTAAAATGGAGAGAATAACTGTGCCCATCTCAGAGGGTTATGTGTGGCTCCAGCCCTCTCAGAGCTCACTGTCCTCCCTCCCTGGGCTGGAGGAGAACTCGCCCTGTAGCAGGTGTCCCGCAGCGCCCCGTCAGCCTGGTGGTCTGGGCTGGCCCAAGGCCCTCTCCCCTGCAGACGCTAGGTGGGAGCCTCCAGCCCTGGCACTGACACAAGCCCTTGCTTTTCTCTTGGCAGGATCGACAAGACCATGCTGGCCAGCCTGAAGGTCAAGTAAGTAGCCACTTCCTGTTACATAGAGGTCAGAGGTGATGGCAGACCAGAGCTCTTCTGGGCCCTCGTTTCCCCTTCAGTTATGGGAAACATGGGTGGGGCTGTTGTATTCGTCAGATCCTCCTCCTCACCTCAGGGGGCTTCTGGATTGGAGGAGGTTGGGCCAAGCTCTTGCTTCCTGGGCTTTGTGGGCAAAACAGGTGCTGCCATGGGAGAGGCACCAGAATGGTGGGAATGTGGCTCGCGTGGTTACTTTCAGCCTACAACTTAGGGGTGAAAGAAAGATAAATGTATTTTCTTTTTAAAAAATATGTCTTTATTGATTTTTTTAGAGAGAGAGGAAGGGGGAGAGAGAGAGAAACATCAATGAGAGGGATAAACATTGATCGGCTGCCTCCTGCACGCCCCCTACTGGGGATCCTGCCCGAAACCCAGGCATGTGCCCTGACGGGGCATGGAAACTGACGTCTCAGTCCATGGGACACTCAATCCACTGAACTAAACTGGCCCGGTGATACATGTATTTTCTATCTCTTTAATTTTTATAGGAATCCCTAGTCCTATAGGCTATCTTTTGGACATTCCCACCTATCTAAAAATTGTGCTACGTAATTCTAGGACATCATAAACCCCCCAGCAGGTGTGAGTGAGCAGTAGGTTACTGAGTCATCTGTTACCAGACATGTCATGCTGCTCAGCCTGGCCCTGGGGCTCTCTGAGGCTTCCAACACCAGATTCGGGGACTGGGAATTATCCGCTCGGTTTGCCATGTGTTTGCTCGTCTGTCTGGGTAGCCCTGAGCAGACACGCCTCTCTTCTAGAACCTCCGACTGTCCTCCTTCACCGCTTTGTTCCTTTCCCCTCCATGTTTCTGGCCGAACCATCTTGTCAGCATCCTGATCCTCCTCCGCCTCGAGACATAACAGGTCACTTCCATCTGCACCCCGCCTCTGGGCAGCGAGCACTAACTAATCACCCACTCCAGTGGAGTGAACTGAAAAAGAGGGAAGTAAGGAGGGAAAAATAGCATTGGTCATTAGCTCAAAATACTATCCCGCCGCATGTGAGTTAGCTCACACGTGAAAAATCCCCTCTTCGTAGGTGGCTCCTTTTGCTTGTAACTCCCCCATCTCAGCTGAAAGGTTCGCCAGGCCGGCCTCCCTTGGCCATGCCAGTCTGTTGCCAGCACTAACTCTATACCCCTGGGTACAGGTCTCTGGGCAAAGCACAGCCAGTCTTGAGAGTTGGTATATAAGGTGGTCAACATAAGAGGCTTCCCACTCTGGTTTGTTTTGTTCAGAAGGGTGAGGGTGGGCAGTCAGGGCAGGGATGGAGGGCAAACTGTCCCGCCCTCTAAGAGCTTTTAGTCTCTTTGTAGAGTTGGCCCTGGAGGTGCAGTGGGAGCAGTCCTGGAAGACTGGCAGGAGGAGGTGGCTTCTAAAGTTGCTCTTAAAGATGGGGCGGGACAGTGGGCCCACCTGTGCCTCTACATGGGGTGTGTGTCAGTACAGCCCAGTGTTCAGGGCAAATCACTCTTGGGCATGATATTTCTCTGGACTTCAGTGCCTGTATCCTTTGTCCAGAGGGCACACCAATGTTTGGCCTCCCTGGAGCTTCTTATCTGTGAGGCATGAAGTGGAGATATTAAGGGGTGTGCAGTGGTATGAGTCTATCTTGTGGTGCTGTCTTGGGACATCTTGTTCAATTTCACAAGTGTACATTGAGGACCTGTTTGTTTTAAGCGGAGGAACTCGTTACAGTGTGCAGCGAATGGCTAGGGTCATGGGCCAGTTGAGACTGGGGCTCAGTGGGGTCTTTGGGTACTTGGGGGACAGTCGGAGGGCTTAGGCCCTGGGGAGGTGGTGTTGAGAGGGTTGTTTGAGACAGTGTGTAGGACCATGTTCAGGGAACCCAAGGCGAGGAAGTGGAATAGAGCTCAGGAAGGGTTGCACAGGAACTGGAAACCCCTCCCCATCAAAATTGCAGCTGGCTTCTTTGCAGAAATTGATGAACTGATCCTAAAATTCATATGGACATTCAAGGATAATCTTGAAAAAGAAGAATATGATTTTAGCCCTGGCCGGTTTGGCCCCGTGGGTAGAGCGTCGGCGAGGGGAATGAAGAGTCGCAGGTTCGATTCTGGTCAAGGGCACATACCTCTTGCAGTTCAGTCCCCGGCCCTGGTCGGAGTCGTGCAGGCGGCAGCCAGTCGATGTGTCCCTCTCACATCGGTGTTTCTCTCTCTCTCTCCCTCTCCCTCCCTCCCTCCCTCCCTCCCTCCCTCCCTCCCTCCCTCCCTCCCTCCCTCTTTCCTTCCCACTCTATTTGAAGATAAGTGGAAAATATATCCTCAGGTGAGGATTGGAAAAAAAAAGAATATGATTTCAAAATGTACTGCAAACTACAGTAATCAAGACGGTTTGGTACTGGCATGAGGATGGACACACAGATCAATGGAATAGATTTCCAAGTCCAGAAAGAACCCTCGCATTTGTGGTCAACTGATTTTCAACAAGTGTGTTATGACAATTTAATGGAGAAAAACAGTCTTTCAACAAATGTGTTGGGACAACTGCTAGCCACATGCAATAGAATGAAATTGAACCCCTCTGTCACACCCTATACAAAAATTGACTCAAAATGGATCAGAGCTAAAAACTCTTAGAAGAAACATAGACAAAAATCTTTGTGACCTTAGATGAGGCAATGGTTTTGTAGATGTGACTCCAAGACCATGAGCAGGCATCATCATAACAAACGGATAAATGGAACTTCATCAAAATGGAAAACGTGTGTTACAAAGGACACCATGAGAAAGTGAAAAGGCAGCCCACGGAATGGGAGGACATGTTTGGCGGTGGCAGTACATGCAGGAGAAAGAGTTGGGAGGTTATAGCCCCAGGCTAACCTCTCTGAACCTCAGTTTCCCATCTGTGAAATGGGAGGGTTGGACTAGTGTCTAACCTGCTCTCTTCTAGCTTTGACGTTTGAGGAGTTTGCCTTCCTGACTTGGGTCCTTTTGTAGTTCTCTTAGGCCTTGATGATGGTAGGTGCTCGCTGCTGCGGACGTGAATGCATGAGTAAATGAATGAATGTCTTTGAGAGCAGACTTCATCTCCGGCTCCTGAGGATCTAACACCAGGGCACACAGCAGGCGCTTAGTCTATATTTGCTGAATGAATCATGGCTCATCATAGCCCATGACATGCAGGGGGAGGGATGGGGGGAGAGAGGCAGGGTCAGCAGGTGGAGCTCCCTTTTCTCCAGCCTGTTCTGGGATCAGCTTTGGAGAAAGCCTGTGTCTGCAGTAACTGAGCCATTGTCGAACCAGATTTCCCCCAGAGGAGAGCCCGGGTTGGCAGGACCAGGTGGGTTTGCTCAGGGAGCACCTTGAAGCAGCAACCAGAGGTGAGGTCCCGAGCTGGGAGCCTTGATGCTTTCCTCCACTCCTTTCGCTGCCCCTGGCCCTCCCTCTCAGAGATCCTGCTTCTTTGATAAAGAAAAAAATATACGTGTGTCTGTCCGTCTACTGCACATACTCCAGCCATCTGAGATGACTGTCACCCAGGGACTGGCCGTCGTGGGACAGGGTGAACAGGGCGTTGGCTCAGTGCCGCCTGTCTCCACTGCTGGGGGCACAGTATCATGCACAGTCTGATGGTGGAGAAATCTAGAACCTATTGCCTTGTCAGAAAAAGCGTCCAACTTTTGGTCATCAGAAAGGACATCTCTGAGTAGAGAGAAAGCTTGTGATGGACCCTAGAGGCGACTGTGTCCTCCTGTTTCTTCCTCAGGAGGGGGGTGGAGCGGGCCTGGAGGGGCCGTCTTCCCAGCAGCCTGGCCGGGACGGCATTGCAACTGCCCTGTGCCTTGGACAGAAGACGACACCACACAGTCACCCCTCCTCCCGGGTTCAGATTTCACCAGCTAAGAATTCAAAATCCACTTAGAAATGAAGTGACCACACAGGGCAGGAGCAGACAGTGTGTCTCAGCTTAGCTTTCCTTGGCCCCTTGGGTCCCTGATGGCAGCTCTTGGAGCCATTGTCCTTGCAGAATTGGGGTGGGGAGGGCTTGTTGCACTTAGAAAGCTCAGATTTCTTGCCATGTCATAGCCCTTGCACACTCAGAGCTTCCATTCCCATTCTATGAGAATTACGTACAAAACCTAGGCGATCGGCTTTGTGGACATGCACGTCTCCTGGTTCTCTCGGCGTTGTTAGCAAGGCCGCCTGCTCATGCCGGGGAGGGAGCAGGGTCAGGGCCCGGGCGTCAGTGCCGCAGGTCTCTGCATCCAGCTTCCCAGCCTTCCATCCACAAAGCCCATCCCTCCACAGTCTACCCCTTGATTCCAACCGAGTGGCTTTTTTCGTGTGTCAGTGGAGGGCCGTGATCCCCAGTCCATTTCCCCACCTCCCACCAGGTCTGTCTACTGTGGATACAAGAATCCTTGAGGCACCACAAAGACGTTGCAGAACCTTCTGGGGCTGCGCCATCTCAGTCACCTCTTCTCTTCCACACGTAGGACACCTGCTGAGAGCTGGCTGGGGAGGGATGGGAGAGCTTGGTTTTTGGGGGGAAGGGAAGGCTGAGTCAGTTCAGCTCACATTTACCGGGCACCGACTTTCCAAGCCCAGTGGTAGGTCCCGGGGCTGGGCAGAAGCAAAGATGGAAAAGTTGGTCTCTGTGTGAAGTCTCGCAGCAGGGAGACAGACATGTGGACAGACAGTCGCAGTGGGATGTGACAGGTGCTAACGGAGATGTTCTCAGAGAGGATGGAGGAAAACTTCCGGGAGCACTGATGATGCCTGGGCGGTCTCCCAGGGTGAGTGGGGTCCAGCCGGAGAACAGAGAGGCACTCCACGCAGCAACAGTGCGCCCAGGCAGTGGGGCGGGAGGGACCTGGTGCAGTTATTTTTACCAGACGGAAAAGTGGGAGAACTGGGACAGGATGGGCTATGCCTAGCAGCATAGGAGGGCTGGGGGGGGGCCTTGCTCCTC